TGTCTGCTCAGGCAAAGCCTGTGAGTGGTTCATGGGTAAATTGTCTCACACAGCCCTTACTCAACGGGCACAGACTCAACATTTGTTTAACCAGTGGCCACATTCCACATGCAGAGGGACAAGGGGGCAAGGAAAATATTTCCTACTTACTTCTCTAATGGCTGCTCCATTACCTCTCAATTGCTCAGCAATACCAGAGGTTTGCTCTGTGAATGTAAACCCAAACCCAGCTCCTGCTAGTGTCCATAGGGACATTAAATTTTTTTTCTAAAACTCTTGTAAGAATTTTTAGAGCACCATTTTTCACAACTTCTTTCTCAATTTGAATTTGTAATTCAAATTACTGAAAAATAAGGTAAGTTTTGAAGTCAAAGCCCAGCAGCTGTTCTCAGTGTGTCACTGTGAGCTCTCAGCACACTTTGTTATTGTGAATGTCAATGCATCCAGCCAGGAGCCCAAGCTCCTTTAGTGTTGAAGGGACAGTGGGAAGCTCTCTCAAGCAAATAAATCCTATAGGATATTAATTTATTTTGTTTTCACAGGATGCTTTGCACTCTTAAAGGAATACAGGCTCTTAAATATAAATCAGGCAGTGCTTAAGCAAGGCAAAGCTGACTTTTACTGCATAAACAACTACTTACATGGGGAGAAGAGAGATTCCATGCTGGCCTTTCCATGATATTTTCCTATATTTACTTGCTTCAGATCTGCATAAAGAGTGAAAGAAACAAATTCACTAAAAGCCCATCTTTGTGCACAGACAGGACACCCACCACATCCACACTACTGCAAATGCCCCAGCTCATGCCCAAAGCAAGTTTTTTCTACCCAGTGAAACTCCTTTTAATCTTCCTGAACCAGAGAATTTACCAGGGATTAATCTGATTCCCCCACCATGGTTTTGTGTAAAATTCACAGCAAAACAGTTCTACTATAACTTGGAAATTTAGGAATGGACTCTATCCTGAATCTGTACTGTGAGGACAGTCATTTTGTAGCCTCACTGAGGGTGTTACAGACTTTGCACCTCTGATTTTCTTATGATCTGCAAACTCTCCTGTATTGTGCAGTTTTCTGGGTTTAGCTCCGTGTTTGAACCTACCCAGCAATTCTTTCTCAGGGGATGTTTCTCCTGCTTTCCCATTTCTCCAGGTTGCCATTGAAAAGCCAACCCCCCAGCAGGGTGAATGAAGCAGTGCAGCTGGGAGCAGGGCATGGCCAACACGTTTGTCACCGTCCCTGATGGGTATTGTCTCCCCGAGCCCATCCAGTACTATGGTGAGGAAAGCAACACCTTTATATCCTGAAAATACAGCAAAATGAACATCTGTGGCAATTCCCATTTTTTTCTCTGTTTTAGTTTGTCTTTAAAGCTCTTAGAAGCTACACATTTGAGTGCCAAGCCTATACTGAAAGTATTGAAATATTGTGATTATTCTGACTGATCATTCCACATAAACATTCCTGGTGCTGCCTCCCTTTGACTTGCATGGAGCAGACACAGCTTTTATTACACTACTCCAGATAATTATAAATAGATAATGCATATTCTATATGTTATGTAACTATAATTGCAATAACTAATTGGATTCTGGAAGAGTAAAGGCGGGACCTGATGCCCATTAAAAAGAATTCTGAATTGCCTTGAAAATGGTTTCCAATTTGGTTTTTCAGAGATTTGAACAATCCCAAAGGAAGAATGAAAAAATGATTCATGTTGCACAGGCTTGCTTTGGTACAGTTGTGTGTATTTAAGGGGGGCTGGATAAAATTAAAACTCAACAGACAGAAGGGCAGGAAGAAACTCTCTTTACAATTCTGTACCTACATTTTACTAAAATGAAATCTATAAAGTCTATAAGTCTATAAAGACTTATATGTGGGGAAATACTAAATAAAACAAGATCTGCTTTTTATTCTATTGACTTCAACTTTAAGACTCCTGTCACAGTATTTTTTACCACTCTATAATTTCTAGACCATCCTTCTCAGACTCTTGTGTAACATTTTCAAAATGATGCCTGAGATATGTATTGATAACTAAAATTTCACTTATTAAAAAATTCAGTTAGGGAAGATGTTTGACTGTAATGTGGACAACAAACAACCCTCAAGTGTAAGACCTAAAAGCAGCTGTATCATCAGTTGGCAAGTGATATTCAGTTATGTGCCAACAATAATCCAGTGGCATCCACATGACATTGTCCAAACCATTAGTGAGCCATTTTTACCACACTTAAGATTTTACTTAAGAACATTACAGGTAGCATGTTTAAAAACAGTGTGTCAGTCTGCCCGTCTGAAAATGTTTGTGATATAAATAATATTTGTGATATTAAATCTATGAAAGTTTTTTAAACTTTGGACTAGCTGATGTTGAGATATTCTCCAGGCTTTTATCTCACTTTTGATTTCCCCCGTTTTCAGATGTTCTACCGGAGCACATCAACTACCAGCTGCCAGACCCGGATTTCCAGAGTGCCCCTTACTGCCAGTACTCAGCAGTGCCAGTTCCTGCCCCGGCGCTGCAGTCCCAGCCCCCTCTGTCCCCATTCGGCACCTACGGGGGGCTGGACCCTCCCTACAGCGACGGGCCCTGCGTGGGCAGCAGCTGCGAGCTGAGCAAACCCCCCTTCGCGGCTCCCCCCGGGGATGACGGGGGGTACCAGGGGTTAAAGAGGCCGAGGCTGCCCCACCCGGGGAGGCTGAAGGGGCAGGAGGAGCTGTGCGTGGTGTGTGGGGACAAGGCCTCTGGGTACCACTACAACGCCCTGACCTGCGAGGGCTGCAAAGGTGAGGAGCTGACTGACCCAGGACTGGCCCCCCAGCGTTCCACACCTGGGATTTGTGCAAACAGGTTTCCTTGGGTTTTAAGCTGTTCCTACAGAGGGTTTTAAGCTGTTCCTACAGAGGGTTTTAATTTATCTAAGGAGCCCCTTATCTAACACACTTACTCCTGGACTCACATTTTTACAGCATTTTTTGAAGAAATGCTTTCACAGTCTGTATTTAATATGAGCACCTCAAGCATCTCATTTTTGCACAGATGACTCAATAGAACAGTCTCTGTTTAAGCAAGTACTGATTTTCTCATGACCATTTATTATAGATTTTCTTGAGTGTTATTACTTATTACTAAAATTAAATAAAAGCAAGTAGTAATGACTTATTAATTATATTTAACTTGTTATATTGGAGGGGAGGCAGAGGGGCAGCTCCAATCCCTGCTCTCTGTGAGCAGTGACAGGACCTGAGGGAAGAGCTGGAGCTGTGTCAGGGAGGTTTAGGCTGGATCTCAGGAAAAGGTTCTTCCCCCAGAGGGTGGTCAGGCACTGAACAGGCTCCCCAGGGCCCCAAGGCTGCCACAGATCAAGGAGTGTTTGGACGATGCTCTCATGCACAGGGTGAGATTTTTGGGGTGCAGGAACAGGAGCTGGACTTGATCTTTGTGTGTTCCTTTCAACTCAGGATATTCTGTGATTCTATGACTCCATGTATGGAAAACAGCATTTAATATCAGTCAGCATTTAATATCAGTCAGAAAGAACCACACATAACTGTGCTGTTAAAAAGCAAATTTAAAATCAAGGTGACGTTTCCGTTTAAAATCCCCAACCAACCAAACCTGAAAGACACTTTTAATTCCTTAAGTTACTGTGAGCTAAAGCTCCTTAGGTTGCTGCAGCCATGACCTGAGCCTTGTGTGCAGGGTTCTGTTGTAGAATGGTCGGGGTCACCATTTGTTGTAGACGACGGGATAAAAACACACGACCACAGAATTGATCATAACTTATCCAACTTTATTGCTGCGTGCTTTGTGCTTATAAAAGCTTAATAATTAGCCTCATACATATTACAAAAGCTAAGCTCATCATTGGCTTCTGATTACCTAAAATATATTTGCGCAAATGCTGTGTGAATGCTGTTTTGTTTCATACTCTTATAGTTACTTGTTTGCTATTTGCTCTGCTTTCCCATCCGCTTTATTCCATTCTTCTGTCACGTCTGCAGTTCCACAGATACAGTGACCTTCCAATAGTTTTCCCTTACCGTGGGACCAGAGCTACGGCATCTTTCTCGTGCCCTCTTTCTATCAACCACCTTCCTGTGATACCCTCCACAGGGTTCTTCCGACGCAGCATCACCAAGAACGCGGTGTATCGGTGCAAGAGCGGAGGGCACTGCGAGATGGACATGTACATGAGGAGGAAGTGCCAGGAGTGTCGCCTGAAGAAGTGCAAAGCTGTGGGAATGCTGGCAGAATGTAAGTGCTCCTTCCACGCTGCCTACGCCACTAATCAACCCGGATAAAGCCTCTTCCAAAGTTAAATCCCTTCTCGTTAGGGCTAAATGATATCAGTCTAAGCTTCATTTGGCTGTAGGAAAATGGTCTTTGGAGTCTGTAGCACCTGTAGCATGATGCCTTAAGCCCCTAATGGTTTTTTTATTTTTCTAATATTTGTAAGACTTGTAAGTTTTATAAGTAGTGGAAGTAGGTTTTAAAAGCAGAAACCCTTCCCTTCTTTGTCCCTTGTCCCTTTCCCTTTCCCTGTAGCACCCTTGTTTACACATTCCTTAACCCTCTTACCCCATTCTATCCTCCCTATATCACTCATAGCCCCAAATCCAATAGAAATGTTTAGTCTTTTGTCAAGGCAAGGCCTAGACAGTTGACAGAACAGCATATCTGGGCCTAAACCACAGAATGAAGTCAAGAATTAGGTAACTATGTACCCTTTGTGCTCTGATGATGATGAAGATGATGAAGTAGGTGGTCCCGAAATGCACCCCAGACCCATTTTAAGGGGGTGGTCCAGAGGAAAGGCCACAGGGTGGATACATCTGGGATTGGATGGATGATGTTATAAAATGTAACCTCTTGGGCACAGGGGCGCGTCTTGTAACATCTTCTGCCTTGGCAAATAAACCCTTTCTTATCTCACCCCTAATTAACTGCTCCAGAGATTTTTTCAGCACCTAAATCCCACGGCAACAGCATCTTCATGTGCAGAAACAAGCAATGCTTGGGAAGCATCTCCCTAAGCTAAGAGGACTATTGTTCAAAGACATTACAAGAAAAAAAAAAAGAAAGTACTGAGAAGTTAAATATCCTGAGCCCTGTCAGGACAGCAGTGAGCAGATCAAAGGTGCTTTAGTGTTTGGGGAAAAAAATTAAATAAAACCAGCATGATGGTCTTTGATGAAAAATTCTGATGCCTGTATGTCACAGAGCCACGAGAAAGGAGGAGACTGGAAACCCTGAGGCCTTTGGTGGGTACTGAACATGAACTCACCTGACAAACCACACATCACCATATCCTCTAGTGCGTAGTTCCTTACAGGTGACGGCTCCTGTGCTGCAAGACTCGAGTCACCTCTAATAAAAAAGATGATTTCAAATTGTAATTAATTCAAAATACACATATTGATGCCCACTTCCATGCCTTGCAGGTTTGCTGACTGAAGTCCAGTGCAAGTCAAAGCGACTGAGGAAGAATTTCAAGCAGAAGAGCAGTTTCCTTTGCAACATAAAGCTGGAAGATGAGGGACTGAATAGTAAGCATGTATCATCTACAACAAGATCCGGAAAAGTGGGATATTCTTCTATTTAAAATACCTCCTTTTATCATTTATTTTTACCCCAAGTCATTGTCACCTGATCCGTTTATTTTTTTAACAGACCCCAGAGAAGATGGAACTTACTCCAGGGGAACACCAGCTTCTCGACCACATTGTAGCAGCACACCAAAAATACACGATTCCCCTCGAGGAAGCCAAGAAGTTTGTAGGTATCCAGCACACTCAGCCTGCACTGGTAAGTTATTGCTGTCCCCAGCACTGTGCCTTGGTTACATCCCATGTCCAAACCCTCTTTCCTGCAGCTGCAAGAAACTGCAAGTGCTGAGGAGAGTTTTCTCCGGCTCTCCGAGACGGCCGTCGTCCACGTCCAAGTGCTGGTGGATTTCACAAAGAGACTTCCAGGTAAGTTCCTTCCTTTGGGAAATATTACAGAAACCATGCTGGTGGAATGAGTCCCAGAAAAAATACAGGCTTTAAGAAAAAAACGCTTTCAACTGGTTATTTTTTATTTCCGGCTTAGCGTTTACTTGTCGTGAGGACAAACTTAGAAGCTTTCCCTTCAAAACTTTGCTAGGATTGGGTTTCTTTTCCATTTCTCACATGGAGTAGAGACATTTTCTGGAAGCACCATCTTGAGTGAATTACAGATTCTCTGAAATCCAGCTGAGTTTTGCAATATATCATGGTCACCAAAATAAAAAGCAGATGTTCCTTCAAAGGAAAAGGCAGCGCAGAAGGGACTGACCAGGTGCTCCTATTCATATTTTCCCTCAATAAGGCACAAGGGAACATGCAATTAAATCCACGGCATTTCAGTGTAAAGTTGGCAAAATGACACTTGACAGGGAGGGTGATAATTTTTTCGTTGTAAAACTTCCTGAGAAAAGTGAATCACCATGTCTGAAGCAGGTATTTGATGCAATTTAGCACCACTGTGAGAAAGAGCTGAAGGAATGGGTGAGCTCTTGGTGTTCCATATCCTGCTTTGATCAGGATCAAGAAGAAATTTCTGAAGGTCCTTTGCTCTTGAATTATAAGTGCAGATAATGAGCTCGTCAAGGGATGAACACAAATTTAAAAAAGATAATAATATATCAGTGAATAAGGGGAATATACACTAAGCAATGTAGCAATTTTATCAGGCCATGTGATATATACCAGAAATAAGGAAGAAATTTTTTTAAAGTCTTGCTTAGTCCCAAAATTTTCACTTGTATCTTCCAGTGAATCTTCTAAAACTGGACACTAAAACTAGCCCCTCCTTTTTTTTTTTTTCTTTTTAATTGTCTAACCTGCAAACAAGCAAGAAAGATCCCAACAGTTCTTGGTACATGCATCACTTAACTAAGCCTCCTCCTTTCCATTAAAGGCATTTATTATTAAAAAAAATCATTTTATCACCTCGTGTTAGGGGCTAAAAGGCAGCCCCAGCCTTCCTCGATTCTGATCATGTCCCTTTCTCTGCAGGATTTGAAAGTTTAGCCAGTGAGGACCAGATTGCACTGCTGAAAGGGTCAACAGTTGAGGCAATGTTCCTGCTGTCAGCCCAAATATACAACCAGAGAATGAGCCAGTGCCAACCATCAACAAGTGAGAGTAAGTTTGACTAACAAGCTTCCTACCCACACCAGTAGGAGGTTCTGCCATTTTAATTCATTTAATCTCAAATAATTACCTACCCAAGCAGAGTGGTACTTAGAATAGTATCATTAATGACAACATACCTTCTAAAGGCTTTTTATTCGAGCCACACAATTTATTTTTTTTTAATAACTAAATAAATAGATTTCTGGTTTCCTCCCATTAGTTCTAAACAAAAAGCGACATTTTTGAGTGTTTGCATAAATTGTGGGGTGGATGGGTAACATTAGCTATGTTAATGACTAATTATATATTGTGTCAAGTTTAACACAAGAGACTTTGACCAACAATGATGCAAATGAGCTTTTTTTTTATACCTACATGGATCTGGGAAAAATTCCCACATTTTCAGCTATATATCTTCAGATACAGACAAATATTTAAAGTCAGTTTAAGCTTGGCTGGAGACTGTCACCTGTCTTGTTCCAGGTCATGCAAGACTTTCTGATCATGGGACATGTTGTCACGTTCAAAGCCTTGATAAAAACAACATTTATTCCATGGAAATGTCTCACAATGAAGAGAGTCCAACTTCCACTACTACCACAGGTAATGGAAGTGGAATCTAAATACTGGGAATCTTTTGCTTTGCTGGCCCTCTTCTTAATCACACCGAGCAACCCTGTCCCTGTGGCCCCTGGGCTCCCTCTTCCTTGAGCTGCTCTGATCACACACACACAGGCATTAAATCCTCATAGGAAGAGGTGGTGTTCATGTTTGATCATATCCTAGGATAAAGCCTTGAGCTCTATATAAATCCAAAGCTCCACAGTAACAACCTTAACACAACTTTTGTTACTGGTTTAGAAATGAACACTGTTTTCCTGAAGTTTGTTAACTATTTCCCTTGAAAGAGTCACTGAATCACAGGATGGCTCAGGTTGGAGGGGACAGCAATGGGTCATCAGGTCCCACCTCCCTGCTCAAGCAGGGTCATCCCAGAGCACATAGCACAGGGTTGTGTCCAGACAGTTCTGGGACATCCACAGTGAGGGAGACTCCACAACCTCTCTGGACAATCTGTTCCCACACAGTGATGGAGTTCCTTCCCCATGTTCAGGTGGAACTTCCTGGGCATCAGTTTCTGCCTGTTGCCTCTTATCCCATTGCTGGGCATCCCTGAGCAGAGCCTGGTCCATCCTCTGCCCCCTCCCTGCAGACACTGACAGGCAGGGATGAGGTCCCCTCTCAGCCACCTCATCTTGAGGCTGAACAGCCCCAGCTCCCTTCAGCCTTTTTTAGAGTCACGGAATCATTTAGGTCGGAAAAGACCTCTAAGATCATCAAATCCAGAATTTACCATGAAAATAAATGAGAGCTGCTCCAGCCCCCTCATCACCTTCACGTTCTCTGCTGGACCTGCTCCAGGAGCTCCATGTCCCTTGTCCTGGGGAGCCCAGCACTGGACAGAGCGATCCAGGTGGATCCAGGGGGGTATCACCTCCCATACTTCAGGCAAAGATGATTTGCAACTGTTTCTGCACTGAAATAATATCATGATTACTTTGGTTTGGTTTTTATTCAAAAAAATTTTTATTAAAATTTTATTTTGTTTGTTTGGGGTTTTTTCCCCATCTTTAAGGCTTAACGGAGGAGTTCATCACCGCCCTGTTCTACTTCTACAGAAGCATGGGGGAACTCAAAGTCACCGAGACCGAGTACGCCCTGCTCGTAGCAACCACCGTGTTCTTTTCAGGTAGGCTGGGAAGGTGACAACAAGCTGCCACCTGCCCCCTCAGGGGAGCTGCCACTTCCCCCTCAGAGAAGCTGTCACTTATCCCGGGGGAACTGTCACCTTCCCCTCATGGGAGCCGCCACTTGACCCCTCAGGGGAGCTGCCACTTACCCGGGGGAAACTGTCACTTACCCCCTCAGGGGAGGTGTCACTTACCCGCTCAGGGAAGCTGCCATTTCCCTGCCATGGGAGGTGCCACTCCCCCCTCAGAGGAGCTGTCACTTATCCCGAGGGAACTGTCACTTTCCCTCTCAGGGAAGCCGCCACTTGCCCCCTCAGGGGAGCTGTCATTTCCCTCTCAGGGGAGGTGCCACTTGCCCCCTCAGGGAGCTGTCATTGCCCTCTCAGGGGAGGTGCCACTTGCCCCCTCAGGGAGCTGTCATTGCCCTCTCAGGGGAGGTGCCACTTGCCCCCTCAGGG